AGATTCCTTAGAGGAAGCAGCAAGGATATCAGGCTGGACGGATGCCCAGAAAGCTGATATACTGCGTTTAAGAACAGCAGGAGAAGCAAAGCGCTATATTAGGGCTTATGGCGAACTTAGAGAAACAACAGACTATCAGTACTTAGTGCGTAAGTTATTACAGGAATACAGGACACGAGATTCCACTAATGTTATTCTAACTGAACTTCGTAACCTTCATCAACAACGTGGCGAATCAGTCCGAGTTTTCGGGCACAAGCTACAGGAGCTAGGCAATAGGTTACGCCAAGCTTATGCACGTCCTAGCAAGGATATGTTGCAGGATACTCTAAAATCGGAGTACGAGAGAGGGCTGTATAGCAATGCAGCTAGGCAACATGTAAATGAAGCAAATAAAGCTCAAGCAACATTGTTAGATTTAATAGAAGTAGCTACACAAGAAGAGCTACGAGAAAAGCAATTATATACGACAAACAAATATTCGAAATATTCGCCTATAAATACAGTTAATAACTTAGACAAGTCTAATCCGTCGGATACAAAGTTGCAGAATAAGTCCGATAGCTTCCAGTGTTACAACTGTGGAAAAGTTGGACATCTAGCCAAAAATTGCTTCAAGAAATCAGCAAAACGAAATGAGCAGACAGTGTGCTATAACTGTGGCATTAAAGGTCACATGGAACGTGACTGTCGACGCCCACGAAAAATTGAAAATGGAAAAGCCCCAAAGGCTGGAACCTATGGAAGAAGGTTTACTAATAGTAAACCTACCTTCTCTAAAGGTCCAAAAAACGTAATCCCCGCCGGGATTGCAGAGCGAAAATAGAAGTAGTTCCGGCAGTATGGGATAAACGATCGGGTATTCATGCTATTAATGAAGTATCACCAGTAGTTCAAGTAGAAATAGAAGGTATAGCATGTCGGTTATTGGTTGATACGGGTGCTCGATCGTCTCTACTAAGTTCCGAACTAGTAGATAGAAACCCGACATTATTAGATAATGCTTGGAAAGAAGTTTCCAGAAGTATTTTAACGTCTATAACAGGACACCCTGTTAAGACATTAGGTAGATATAATATGCAATTAAAAGTAGGAAACCTAGAGCTAAGTCATTCGTTTTACATCTGTAAGCATATAGACTTAGACACAGATGGTATTACAGGGCAAGATTTCTTAAGAACTTACAACACTGAAATATCTCTTACCCAAAGTAAGCTACGCATAGAAACAGAGGTCTTAAGTTTTGAAGGGTGTGAACCTTCAAACTTATGTGCGACAGTTACGACACATTATACCTTCCCGCTGACTAACAGTCAGACGCCTAATGCTTGTACTAGCAAGGCTAAGGATCAACCGTCCCAGAACGACAGCACTGACTTCTTAAAGTGTAGTGACACACGACAAAGTCGGAGGAGTAAGAATAAGAAGTGTCTTAAAGAAAGTTCTAAAAGAAAGCCAGAGAATAGGACTACACAGAAAAACGTTAAACCTAGCAAAAGTCATAAAGATAAGGTGAGTGATAGTAAAGTAAGGCAGAATAAGTTAATGAATAAACATAAAATTATAAAAAAGGAAAATAATAATTCAAACCCCTCAGATGACTCTACACTTATGCCTA